AAATTACTCTTCAAGATCAAACCTATGGTACCATCTTATGTCCCCCTCGAAACCATACAACTTTTGTCTGAAACATTTTTTCATATCTCTTTTAGTTTTTTAAAAAATCGACTGTATAAATTAAAATGGCCCACCCTGTATATAAGTAGCACGTCCTTATTATAAAAGCCGGCAGAGATCGGCTGTGAAGCTCTAGATTCTACCACGGCAGACTCGTGCTCGTGCGCGTGCCCGTGCCCGTGCTTGTATTTACTTGTGCTCGCGTTTCAAGGAGAGAAAAGAAGGATATTGATAGTCAGAAAGAGACGACAGAGAGCGATAACGAGCAAAGCGAATCGGTGAGCATAGGATTATTCCCACAAACATTAATCATTACGCTTGCTCATCAACTGATCCTCTGCCTCCTGAAAACAGCTTCAGGAGGTAGAGGATTAGTCGAATCTCTCAACCTCGAGTAGTGGGAATAATCCACATTAGAGAAAACAGAAACTGACGTTGGTCTTCCTTTGAAAACAAAAAAAAAAGAATTGAGCTGATTGAACAAATCAGCACAGCATTGTGTCGATAAGGAATCGATAGACTTTGCGAATGCCGGACTAATTTGTTGCATCAATTGTGCTACAGTAAATGGGCTCTTGATTGTCTCCCTTTTACAATTCTAGTCTCCTTCGCCTCTCGCCGTGTTAATTGTGTAATTTTTTTTTACGGGAAACGAGCAGTTTTAGTCTTGACAGATCCGAAATGCGGGGAAATCAATGCGGCGATTCACGTAGGATCAATTTTGTGCTGATCTCATGAATCTCGAGATTTCCAGCATTCGACATTGAGGTCGCAGAAACTTCGGAGTGGCGCGTGGACAAGAAGTAACCCGGTCGCGTCTGACTCGTGTGTCAATGTCAATAAGAGTTCGCAAGAGAAAACGAAAAGAGAGAACGGAACGTTACATCTGAAACGTTACTTACCGATTTATGTAAGAACGGAGACAATCTCGGTCGCCAACGGACAGTAACGTTACTTCTTTCGCCATTGGGTCATTCCATAAGTAATACGGTTTTATAGGGATATTTTTTTTTTTAGATAAAACAAAGAAAGCGACATTTTACTGTTAATCCAAAATACATTTTTCATTATTGTGTAATTTAACTTATTGTAAAAGTACAATAAACGTACTGTAAATTGAACAACTGTAGAAATACAGAACACGAAGTGACAGAAAAGTAGTCGAAATTTACAACTTCTTTCCATCTTAAATGTTTACTTTGACGATAAAAGTCTCACGATTTTGAGCTAAGGAATCAATCAAGCTCCCTTTTATACCGCATTACATTGGAATGACTCAGTATTTCGCTACTAACAGAATTCTCATTGACGTTAATACCAAAACTGGACCAGGCTCTTCCACCCCGCGCCACCCCGACGTCATCGACGGTCTCTCCGTCAGTCCACATCGCATCTGCCGTTTCCCCCTGAACTCACCGTAGAGTTCGACAGGCAAGGTCACTTCGGAGTGCGACCGTTCGTACTTTCTGCCGCGGCCACGATACCCGGTGACAGTCCGCTCCGGCAGGCCTTTGACGCTCGCGAACGACGGATCGGGCAACGAGCAAAGGTTGGCGGATAGATGTCTAGCGTTGCGCGTAATGCGAAGCGAGCACGAGGAAGCGAAGCTCTCGTCCGACGAAACCGGCAGCTCCGGCGAGCTATGCGACTGCAGCAACGTCGCCGGTTTCCACATGCGCTCCTCGTCGCGAGGTCCCTCCGGAGTTGGCTTCTCGGCTGATAGCGGGTTGCGTTGCGTTGCAGTGCGGTGTGATGGGTAGGGAGGGTGCGAAATGCGCAGACATATAGATCCAGGTGTGATAGCGTTATCAGAAGAGTGACGGCGGGGTGCGTGTACGGTGCAGCATTCGGAATGACGGTGTAGTGAGAGGAAGGGAAGAGAAAAGAAAACAAAAGAGAGAAAGACCCGATTAAAAAACCCATTTGCCAAAGAAACGGAAGGGACGAATCTTTGAACCGCTGCTCTGAACGCTTCGCGATAAGCGGACGATCGAATGCTTTATCATCGATGCAAAAACCGACGACACTTCGCGGATGCACACTCTAGGAATCACTGATGCCTTTCCGCATGAATTTGAGCATACATCAACACATTTATACATTTTATACATGGAAAATGCATGCGTTCTACCTGTGCCGAAATTCATATGGGAAGGCATCAGTGATTCCTAGTGTACTTCGCTCTCGCGCTCTCCTCGTGCGCGTCTTACTGAGATTGGGGGTAATTAAAAATTAAATATGAAAAAAATAACACAATCTCTGTAACACACGCGACAAGAATCGTCAGCGTAGATCTTAAAGTCCGTGTTAGCATTATTGATATAGTACGTATCGTCCCTCTTCTGCCAAAACTATGAATACGCAAATTTCCACAAAATAGTTAAATAGTTACATTCAAGTCTGAAGTAAAAGCTGATGTCTAGACTGGAATTACACGAAGTTAAATTTCATTATTTAACTTTATAGCACGATATAAATAAATATTATAGTGTGTTATATCAAATATATATACAAATATCGTATGTAGGAAACAACTTAATCTCGTGTCATTAAACGAATGATTATACTCCGACGCTTGTAAGGATCACGAACGTTACATTTTAGTCGCTTCGGCGTTGAAAGATTCGTCGAGGAAGAAATAAAGTAAATTAAGGATAGAGTATACCTTCGACCCTTCGCGCGCAGTTTAGCGAGTATGTCGGATTCACGAGTACGCACACCACACAACAACCGTGGCACACGATAGCCATGCAACCAGTAAGCCAACCAAACCACACGATTTCTTTTTACATATATAGACAGCCTCGTACACTGACATTTGTTAGGATACCGAAGCTCGTACGGCATTAGTATGCGATCGTAATGACACAGTGGAAAGATATGACGGTCCGAGTCCCTTTTTCTACTTTTGACGACCGTTATGAATTGTACATGAATGGAGAAGAGGAACGAAATGGAGATGTTACATGCCTTGCGAACTGCCTATTCGAAGATAAGAAGCTCGGCGACGATGAGAGATGAAAATGACGATGAACCGACAAAATATAATGAGATGCAAATACAAAAAAAAAGCGGCCATGAATAACCACATGGGCGACTATTGTCGTGGGAAAAGTTCGATGAAATGAAATCTGATGACACCCTGGACGTAATGAACGTGTACGATGAAGGTATGGCGAATGCGCATGAAGCTCCAAGGAGCCCCACGAAGGAAGGTTCGATGATGATGATGAAGTCGCTTGTGAGTCCCGTCGGGATGATGATCTCGGGATCGAGGATTCGAGGGTGGGCAACTGAATGGACCACACCACGGCGTGTGTGGCCCAGACAGTCGCCGATACTTGATTAGTTGGCTTCCACGCGCACAACTATCGCTGAGCAAAGAGTTATTTCAACTGGAATCACCGCCTCCTACCCTGGCATTGGCAAAATACACATCTCTCGGCTGTACTACATGGAACAAGACACATTAGACTTTTCCGGGCAGATCAACCAGACCTCGTCAGGTCTCGCACCTCGTTTGGTGTTCTGCAAGATCCAGCCGTTAAAAAAAATAAAGAAAAGACGTACCAATCCTTTGTCTCATCTATACAGTACGTACGACTTGTAGAACTGATTAAAGTAAAGGTAACGAAAATCAACAAATGCAGATTACAAATCGCAACATATCGTGGAAAATTAACTCGGGCAAAATATATACAAGATTAATTTACCGAGGAAGGGATGAGACTAATAGACGACAGACTGTAGTTACGGGGTATAAGGTGTAGGGCGTGAGAGTCGGCAGTTACTTCAATCAGCACTTCGTAGTACCGACGATGTGCATAAGCGCATTCCGGGTACTGACACACGTCGGTCCAACAACTATGCACAATGTAATTGCAACGAAAACTCAAGACCCGCGGAACTGTCTGCACGACACGAGATTCCGTCGCAGCGTAACTGCGTAACTGCGCCGATATCGGTCGACGGGATTATTTCATTGCAACATGTGCATAAGAGTTTCTACAGGTATAAAAAAAAAACACATTTCGTATCCAAATAAAGAGAAGAAAAATATACGTGGATGGAACGGATCTACTCGATTGCGACAAAAATAGAGAAGGATACGTCAAGTATCGTTCGAAAATTTACGTGTGCATTATCTTGAAGAATCATTCTGGGAAAAATTGGTAGCCGGTACACACATACCTTCTTTGTTGACCGCGTCCAAGCTCTGATACTGCAGCTTGTCCGCAGCTACAAAAAGAGAACAGTAGAACACAGAAGGGAGCATTGTGACGACATTCCACCATTAATTCAATTGCCAGTAATTAGCCCTTAAAAGCTCTAATATCCCGATATGCCTTTAACGTTAACATAACACACACAATGTAATATAATAAACGTCATTGTACATTTGCGCGCGTTTCCGTAAAGCGGCGATTCTTCAAAAAAACGACAAGGCTACCCTTGGGCCGTACTATCATTGTCGCGCACAACCCAAGTCCCAAGTTCATTTCGTAAAAATGATATAAATTCACAGTATTTGAATCTCTGCTCTTATTTAGACAACAAAATCGATCGGCTCGAATTTAACAGTGCGACTTTACTTTGAAATTTATAGATGCAGTAACTTCTATAAACATCATAAACATTTATAACTGTAAAGATTGCACGGGTAATTTATATTCGACTTGTATATATTCAACTGCCCATTCGCCAAGTTAAAATATCGAATCAAACACGGTCTATAGATGTCGATGTACCTTTCGTTAATCACTACTTGTGCGGGGGAAAGAGGATTTTTCGTGACGAAATCTAATTTCGTGAGATGTGAAGCTATTACATAATTTGGGAGGGAGGATATGTGGCATTCATAAACAGCATTCACATATACTATAAATGTCGAATAAATGTTAATGCCATCAAAGTGATGTATAAGTATATAAAGAAGACCAAAATAAAATAATCCATAATTATAATCATGCACAAACGTGTTAAGGATACCGTTACATGTCTTACATATCGTCACACATTCCGTATATTCGCGTACATGTACGCATGTGTACGCACAGCAAATACAGATCGGCTTGTTAAATGTTACATCTCGGTCAAATGTAGTTCGTTTATCGGCGACATCCTTCACACTTACTTCAGCGTAAATCTGCTCACCGATACGGATAACTTGCACATCAAGGCGCACTTACCTTTCTCGGGCTTCTCCTGCCGCTGATGATCGTAGCTTCGCGCGCGCGGCTCCACGATGCTCCCTGCCTCTCTGCTTCGCCGTTGTCGTTGACTCGCCGCCAATTGGCTACCGAGTCTAGCAGCCTCGTGTCCGGCCACGGTTCTGGCGCTGCACGTGTCGTAACACAAAATAAAACTTTCAGTCTCCGCTTATTATTTCATCAAGATGATAAATAGATGCACAGAAAAATGTTGAATGCAAACGGACAGACCTGATTGGAATCGGTGCCGAGCTCTGTAAGAATCCACTATCGTACGGCTCGTCCATCATATTTGGATCTAGATCCATCATGTCGATCCCACGACTGGTCGTCGGACTGTCCAGCATAGAGTCCACAGTATCCGTTTCCATTAAAGATGGAGGCGTATCCTGAAAATCAATTTTTTACCTATCGTATAACTATTTAAAAGCGAGAACTTGGAGAATAAGATCTACACTTGCCAAAAATTTAACTATGCGATTAATAGATAAAACTGTACTCACAGCCTGCGCCGTGGTATTAATCAAATCGTCGTCATTGATACCCAATTCCGCATCTTCCTCCTCTATCCGGGTGCTACATTGTGAACTAGTATCCTGACCGGAACCACCGCTCTCTCCCTGAAAAAAACGACAAAAATTCATTAATTTTTTCGTATGGACATTGGCGTGTTATAGCGGATAATTGAAAGTCTCACCACATTGTGGCTGCTCTCATTGCGCGAGTGTGGTCTGAATCCAGGACCAGGCGGTAGATTCTTCTGCACGCAGCAGTTAACGCCAGGACTGAAGTGCAACTCGACATGAAAGCGCTCCTCGCTGCTTGGGTCCTTGGTCGGATCCTCGTACAACATAACAACAATTTGCGACATGTAGTTCAACTCGGAGACCATACTGACGTATTCCATCGCGCGCCGCCACTGCTCGTCTTTCACCACCTGCGAATCGCATACATAAGACAATCAGAAAACAGAGCAGGAGGATTATATCTTTCGGCTATAACGTGTCACTCACATCGAGTAAACCACCGTAACGCAGCACGGTGAGCAAGGAATGTACATGACTCTCGCTCGTGAAGTACAGCCTCGTACGTACATGACGCCCTGGACTCGAGACACCATGAGAATACCTATGGATCATTAGCGATAATTGTATAGTTACCAAAAAGATCTCAATTATAGAAGAAAACCCCTCTGTAATGTTCATTTCTATCAATGCGGATCAACTTTAATTTTGGCTTAACTTTCTTTTTACCTTTTTCTAGTTTCTAAGAGTTGGAAAAAGATGGAAAGTAAAAATTAAACTGCGATTAAAATTACATGGAACTACATTGGTAGAATTGGACATAAGTAGGACTCAAATGTTATACCTAGGGTTAAGCCTGTTGACAGTCTCTTCTGATTCCTCGATATTTCGTTGCAGATCAGCCCGTATCTTCTTCAGCAAAGGTGTGCATATACCCTGACCGATAGTCAGCTTCTCTTGTACCGTCAAGCCGTATTCCTACGTATTAATATATAACGTAAGTCATATGTAGAAAAGTAAAACGTTGAATTGCTAGCGAAAAGATGATACCTGAGGGATCACTATATCGGCTAAAGATTTAGCGTACGTGTACAATTCTTCCGCGTGTTCGAATTGCAACGTATGATTGTTGTGCTGAAGGTCGTACTTTATGCAGTCGTAAATGTCGGGTATTTTAGAGATGTCAAAACGCTTGTTTTTCGTGCAGAAGTCTTTCTCTATCTTTCCCCAGCGACGTCCCATCAGCTCCCACGTCTCGCCGTGATAAAGTATCGTGTCCTTCGTCTTCGAGTCTTCTTTCTTGATGCGCACGATGTCCAGGAGCTTCTGGATGAGAGTGTGAACGTGCTGGCAGCATCGGACCGGGTTCTTGACAAAGTCCAAAGCGGCGTTGATGCTCAGCGCGTTTCCCGGATTGATCTGTTCTCGATCCTCGCGAGTGAACTCTCGGTCCTGTTGTAGCAGCTCGTGCAAGCGCGTTTTCACCCTATAATAAATAATATCGCGTACTGTGAGGCGAAAATTACAATTCAGGCGTGCCAGTGAAAAAGTCTTGTACTCACATATTCTGATATTTGCTGCTATCGCAGTCGTTGTCCAGTAGGCCGTTGGTATTCGCGCTTTTCACCATCTGCACCAAGATAGGCGTTAGCTCTCCTTCCAGTGCAAGCAACCCTTTCGCGAAAGCCGCCGCAGTCATTTGGACGCGTCCCTCGTCGCTGGCGTAGATCTTCAAGTCGTGGCGAAACGTGGAGTGCAGGCGTAACAAACCCAATCCTTGCGCACCTGCATATTCACCTACGTTTACACAAGGGGGAATAATATCAACACAACGGCGGGATTCCTCGAGACACGGCTATCATAATCATAGAACACAACGACAACGGAACAATTCAGAGATTACTTGAAAAAAAAAAAACAGTTGTCGAGATGACCTATGCTCTAGTATCGAGATCATCGTGGTATCGGTAAAGATTACATTAATCGGGATTAATTACATTAATTAACGTTGCGTATCGTATCACAACGCGGAAGGTACTGGCAAGAAGTTTTTCATGTCTCTAAATGTTTTAGAGTTACCTTGAAACTCCTCTGTTGGTACTTCAATGGAAAAATTACATTTCGAAGAAAACATATATTGTACAAAGAGTACGTGCATAACTTGTATATATAAAAGAAAATTACACTCAACATGTTGTAGTGCAGTTAAGAACAAAATTAACAGAAATGCAAATTCGAAGGGATAAGGCTTTATGAATTTAAACAGAAATGTTACATTAGCATAGAGAAAGCGTGTGGCGGATGGTAAGTGTGGTGTACGCTAAAACCATGCTGTTCCCAAGCTGACAGCTCCACCGAACCGAGTGGCAACTCGAGAACACGTTCAAATAAAGAAATACAAAGTGTGCAAGTGTACTCTTACTGTTAGAGCCGTCGACCGTATAACATCGCTATTTCTAAGGACAGCATTACAATCTACAGAGAACTATGGAATAAGCGTGGATCGTAAATAAAAGGTTACCGTAGTTTGGTAACATCTCTGATTCTTCCTCTGAAATAACATTTGAGATAAATTATCCTATATGTGACTCTCGAGAGTGTAACAGTACTACATCTCACTATTAACTACCAGTTAAGATATGATTGCCAATATGGTGGTTAGTGCCACAGTGGTTGCTACACTGGCAATTACTCTCGCACAAACTGGATATTCATTACTCTTAAATAGCTTTTACATTTCTCATGGTACAAGAATATAAATTATAAGAGAATACAATCCAATCTTCGCACGCCAATTTTGTAAGCCGTCCAGTAGTTTTGCAACTTGTACAATATAGCATTCTCAAGATACAATTTGTACCGAAAGCCCAGAGGCTTTCAGATTACATAGTTCGTATATATATCATGGGTAAACCCAGACCAAGTTTAGCTAAGAGGGAAATTATTATAGAAACGATCTCCGATACTGTGTAGAAACTTAAAAGCGAGCATGGCAAGCATATGAACATAAGATACGAACCACTAAGGTGTCTACCTTGACCACCGGGGTACATGCAGCGGAATATGCGTCCTAATTCTTCCGCCTGAATACGTCCAGCGGGCGTCAGTTCTCCGCCCCACTTCAATATCAAAACTAGAGATGGTTCCCCTAATCGATCTAAGCAAGAAAAAGTGAAGATACACGCATTTCTTCAGATATACATAATTTTCTAGAATATACATATATGTCTCTTGTATAAAATAGTGAAAAAGTAAACGAAGCATACTAAGATCGCTACCGTCGTCGGAAGAACTTCCCCGCGGCCGTCCTCGCGGCTGATACTTCAATTGGACTTTACGATTTATGCCAGAGAAATGTCCATACCTACAATACAGAGTTAATAGTCTTATTACAAATTTATCGCAATTTACTCAATTAATAATCGCGTACAATGTATTTTCTAGAGGGATCTTCGAGGCTAGTCTGCACGATGGTGCACCATTCTTTTTACTTATCGAACTACATACATTTCTAAGACACTCTTGAGTTGCTCCAGTTTCCCTTGTTTTTCTTCCAACTCGGGTCCCGCCGCACGATGCTGTATTTCCGTTAGTAGACTACGCGCTGTATCGAGAATCTCTTGCAGCTGTTTTGGACGCTTTAGTTTTACGTGACCGTGCTTATAGCCATCGTACTTAGCAAATATCTCAAAAAATCTGTGAGACATTACATGTACACGTTAACTCGCAATATTCTTGGATGAGAGAAAATGTATAAGATTTTGTGCACTCACTTCGGATGACGCACTTCTACTTTCATCTTCTGCTTCGGGGTTCTGTCACCATGTCTAATAACTGCCACGACACAGCGCAATTCCATCCTGGATAAGTATCGAAATAGTTAATAACGACCAACAAACATGCTTCAGTATTAAAAACAGTAATTGCTCATAGTTTAATAATCACTTGTGATTATACTAACATTTTGCCAAAGGTAGTCGGCACAATAGGAGGATCGTCCAGTTGAAACGGGACACTCCACGGAATATGCAACGTGGGGGCTAGTTCCCTAAGTATCATATTCCCCAAAATCTTGGCACAGTCATCGTAATACTTGTTCGAGTTCTTTACAAAACTAAATCCATTCACGTCGCACACGAACGATTGGCCGTTCGCTCTGTAACCAGAATCATACTCGCTATATCAATTGTACTTGACTTGTGTAAGCCGCGAGACATTCACGACCGTGCCGATGTCTATTTACCGACTGAAGTCATTTCATGGTGTCGCAGCGGAAATAAAAGCTACTGAATGTGTAACGTGATATGCGCTCTACAATAACATTGATAACCACGACAATTGCATTACGTCGGCATGTTATTGTCTTAGCGAAGTCATACAGATACATTCAAAATAGATTTTACGCGAGAAGAGCATCTTTTTAAAGATGCACGACACTGTTCACAAAAAGGATTGTTGAAAAAGTGGATTCAGTTGCATTACACGCGATATGTAATTACGTACCTTAATAAGTCGAAGCCGCACACCGTTTGCTTGAAGGCCAAGCACACTTTCCTGCTAATGAGTTTCTCAGCGTTGTTCAATATCACCGGATAACGAATTTCCTTGCCCTCCGAATCTCTCTCGACTTTGCCGTCGAGGGCGGGACTCTTCCTCGCCTCGGCGTGAGCGTAATCAGGTCCCACGGTATAGACTTTAACGTCAGTGCCATCGGTAGGCATAAAATCTTCATAGATATAAGAACCACTCTTGCGAACGCGAGATTCTGGAGAATATACGCTACTACGACTACCTATCTGCGTAATGAACGGATATTATTCGTTTTGAATCTTTTTTTTCCATTTACAAAAACGGATGCTCGCCTCTTAAATCTTGTACGCGTGAAGACTCGCATACTGATTTCAAGATAGATAATATATGGTACCTTTCTAAATAATCTCTGGCTCCCTCCGCCGGCAGAAGTAGGATAATAAATATAGATATTATGGTCTTCAGCGGATACTGGTTTTTCCACGAATGGTTTGTTGAAAGTAATACCGTTCACCTCCACGTGATCCTCCGACTCCACCAATTCGTGCTCTGAAATACCGTCTATATTCTCTATATGTAAAGATTAAACGTACAAGAGGTGCGAGTACTCAATCGAATACACAGCTAGTTTGATTTCAGAACTGGATCGCGGAGGATCAAGTACTTACGACTCAATTACGAACAATAAATAAATTTTGCAACTCACGTTTTGGATCTGGCGAATCTCTGTCGAGAACGGCATACCGTGGAATTTCGATATCTTCGCCCTCCAGTATAGCATAAACTCTTCGTCGGTCCTAGGATAATTTATATCAATCGGTAGAGAGTAAATGTAATGGAAAAGTATATTTTGTAATAATTTTTAAAGGTATACCTGGATGTCGTACTGCATCGGGAGATGATTAATAATAAACGGTTTACGTAAACTCGCGTAATTTATAGCCTTATCAAGGGGAAAACCTTTACTATGGAAACTTATCAAGCAGTCGACCACAGGCCAATTTTCTACAGGTTCCTATAAACGAGCAAACGCAAAGGATATAAATTTTGCACCGTAGAGGTACAGTATACGATTCCATAACGTGAACGTATATATCACCTTTAATATCACTTCTTCTGGAAAGACGATAATTTTTATATACTCGAATTCCTCGAGCCTCGTTAAAATCTCTTTCATCGGTTTACTCTGCGACTTCTTCGCCATTGCGCATATCCCAACCAGGACTTGCTTTCCCTCTCCTTCCACATCACTCCCGCCCATATAAGCATCATCTTGGGTGCCTTCTGATAATTCGGGCTAGAAAGCAAAGTAAACGGTCAGCGACAATTTCTCAAAAGGATACACGCAAGTCGTATCTTGATAATACTCGCAATACTAATAAACAGAAAATAATTAACACTTGGATAAAACTTATACACACATACATGTAATATAAAATTAAATTCACTACCACACACATGTTTTTTTTTTCTTTTAAAAAAATGAGACATAGATTAAGTGTGGAAGAGCCTGACTCTTTTTAACAGTTTCTAAAAATGAACGTGACTTCTAAACTCGGCTATATAACAAGCAGTGATGAAGATCGTAAAATCTTCAAGCTAAATAGTGCTCACCCAGTATGCCTTTAGGCAGGATAGAAATCTAGGCTTGTCGTCAGCAGGACAATTTTCATCGCGAACTCTTGTAAGATTACTCATTATACTCTTTAGTTTGTGATCTTTTGATAAGTAAGTAATACGTCGATCGCATACGTTATTGCCTACATAGAAAGGTAATACGTATCAAGCAACGAAGCGTGACATATGTAAATTTGATAACTCACGCTATCTTTGAACCTCGTGATTTAGTGTGAAGTTTTCACTCACACTTTTACAAATACGTTTTCTTTTCACTTATTTCTGTTTACTCCGCTTTTATCGCTTACTACTTCACTACAATCCAGACTCAATAAGAAATGCAATACCAGTCATGCAGCAACAAGCAAACCAAAGCACGAACGTTTGTTAATCACTGCAATGAAAGATTAGAAAAGATTTGAGATTGTGTTATAATAAAAGAAAGAAGATTACAGTCAAGCTGAAGAAACTTGGTAGAATCTATCCTCGTTTCCTATTATTTATATCGATACAAATAGATGAATAGAAAAAAATACTCGTGACAGCAGATTTTTATATGTGCGATTAGAAATATCTGATAAGTTATCACAGAAAGCTACAATACCTGTTACGTTCAATTGAAAAATATAAATCTTTATCGCTACGATCCTATGATATCTGTCGTTTCCTTTTGATTACGATCGTTATTCTTATCATAATTGCGAAATACATGAGATTTGTGTATAAAACATATACACCGTTGTCTTGACATGAATGATAAAATGCTCACGGGGTTAATCTCAAAGCCACGTTCTTATTAGAGTATCACACAACAGTATCTCATTAATCGCACACACACACGCACTTTTACCTTGGAAATAAAATTCATTGCTATGTATCTTGAAGATATTGAAAATTCCGCAAGCTCTGGCGTCTTCCACTCGGATAACGATTCAATTGATGGTGTTCTAATATCAATCGCTCAAAGTGCGATCACAGTTAACATATCACGATAGAAAGATAAAGGGAAAGTTATCAGTTCTACTCTCAAGTCTGTCACTTGAGGACTATCACTGTAACTGGAATTCAGATATATTTGCGACGGCATATTCATGCGCCACCGAAATGACATGAGAACGTAATGTAGTTAAATCGTACTTTAGATTCTAACAATGCACACTGTTTACTTAGATTCACGCACTGTTGAAGTAACGAGTAGCGAATACCATCTGAACAAAAACTAGAACTCGCAGGCGGTTATCGCAGGTCGTAATGTTATCAAGCGCAATTAGAAGCAATTTATAATTCAGTCAATATTAGCACTGCTAATTGGCTCACGATGGGTGGTTAACAAATGTATTTCTACGCGGGACAATCAGGTGTTTGCCTTCGCGCATGCATCGACAGAAAGTCTAACTGCTGCATCACGTGCGTACCATTCGTGCTCGGATAACGTGCCTTACAATGAGATAAATCCCTGCCGGGCCGAACATCGCGGGCGACGAACACGGAATTTATCCTGCTCTTCCACCGACTGCATTCGCACACGCTCGGCCACGCGCAGACACATTCACTAATGCACACCGCGAATGCTCCGAATCGGTTTGATTCTTTGAAAGCCGATATTACGTAATAAGGGTATATCTCTCTGTCTAGGTATACCAGCAATTAAGCGACCAGCAAGAGCTTCAACATTTACCTAGCCACTGTTTGCGCTGATGCCGCCGACTATTTACATAACTGCTCGTAACATTTCCGTTGCAAAGGGCAAGTATGTACATTGCAAATAAGGGGACAGATCGGAGGGGACAGATACTGTATCTTTAAATACGCGAGAAAACGTCTGCATATATACGGAAACGTATTCTTAATATAGATTTCTAACCTCCGACCGCTAACGCACGCAGTCTTGCTCCAAACAGCTGCTTCACGCGCGCACGTTCGTCGTTTTCGTAACACAAACGCAGGATAAAAAGCTGGAAGTGGAACGACACTGCGGTGCCATTAATCTCAAATCAATTAGTCTCTAGGATAACAATCGACCGTCTCAGGCACGCGCGGCTCTTGCTCGCGTCGCCTCTGTATTTCTGTGATATCTCATCAGACACAAGTCAATGCGATCAACACTGGATGCACAATCGAGAAAACCATTCGCATGTCGTGTTATTCAACAAGAAGAGAATTAAGAAAAGGAGTAGAGCGCTCATCTATAAAAACTCGATAGCATGGCACGTGCTCTGGTTAGGAAGCCGAAGGATAGATTTCAAGCTGTGCGCCTCGTGCAACGTTCGTGGACAAGTGCTAACAGCGGTGTGCGTTTCGACAGCGGTGAGAAAGAACGGTCTCCCGACACTTACTCTCTTCGACGAGCGATAGATCGACGGAATAACAGACGGCTGGACCGTGTTTATGTCCCCTATGTAGAACATCGGTCTGCTCGCATTCTTGAGACCCTGCAAACAAGGCGACGTTAGGGCGCTGGGTTCAGCGGAGCGCGCAGGCCGTCGGACGGGGCGAAGGCAATTTACCTGGTAACCATGTTCCAGCTCAGTGTAAGACATGTCAGATCTGGTCTCATTGATAAAACCAAAGCCTGATTCGCCGTGCTAATGTAGGCGACGTCTCGCGTAACTGAAACTACCGTGTCACATCACGTTACTCTCACTCTCGGGGTCAGAGTACAAGGCCACGTAACGGCTTACCATAGAGACTTAAGCGTAAATAGCGCGCAAGCCTTGACGTACACGTAACGTCATATGTAATTGAAGGTAACGTACGACATACGCCAAAGCTTCCTACCTAGCTAATCTACGTTTACGCTTGCGTCGTAAGCTATGACGTTGCTTTGTGCTCCGACTCGTAGGCTCGGTCTCGCCGACGTTGCTTAACTTCGGTTTAATTCATCGTTTGTCTCTTCCCGAGGGGAAACAGTTGGAAAGAGACAAAGGATGAATTGAGCCAGGCTTAAAGTTGGCGAAATCGATCCTCGACGGTCTGTCGGCATAATGAAAGTCGTATATAAACAAGTACGAGGGAGGTACTGCTTGAGAGACACTACATGCGAGCTAAGCTTGTTTCGCTCTTTCGATCTTACGGATCCTTCCTCCTCGCGCCCGGCGAGTGTTTTTATTGTTTCCGCTCTCCAGTGGCTTTTACGAAAGCGCCCCTCCGCCGGATTAAGCGACGATGCGTGTCGTCTCGACGTCGTCGTTTCCCCAGCGAGCTGCAACGAAGATTAAATGTTTGCGGGGGTGACGGAGAGGCGTGTAACGTTTGCGCGCATCCACCGAGATAACCGCGAGTTCGGGCTAGTCGCAAACAGCGGCGCCCGGGCGTGTTTGCCTCCGAGCCGCGCGGCTTAATCCGATAACGGGGCCAGCTATCGTCTGCGGAGTTGCGCGCCATACGACGAATTCGCCGACGCATTCGCGCGGGGGGGGGGGGGGCACGGCACGCGAATCGAGCGGCGTGTACTCACAGTTCGTAGCCGCGAGGACGATCCGACGGTGACGCTGGCACGTGACTCGCGACGTGACACAACCGGGAATCGCGGCTCTCACCGTTTGAACTCACGTCACCCGTGTTGACGTTGCGCAGGGCGTCTGGTCCGCGGGGCACACAAAATCGAATCTCTCTGCAGTGGCGGTGTGTTCCCCGGAAGCGGGAACCCCCGCGCGTGCGCGCCATCCCCGGCCAATCGCGAGACCGGAGGTCTGTTCTTTATAGCTGGACACTTTTGTGAGAATTGTTTCAAATTTTTACAATTTATTTCTTCACATTGACACGCGCAAAATAAGACTAATTAAATTAAAATTGACCGTCTCAAAGTTCTGAAAAGAAAAAAGGTTACAGTTCGCTACGTTACACGAAATATTACGCGTAAAAACCACGTTAAAAATCCCAGATAACAATTCTCGCGCGCAAATTTTGCTTGTCTTACGCATGCAAATTTGTATGAGATTTGCCTGAGTTTTGTCCGTAAGATATGTTTAGTCTGTGCTTTTGCACGCAAGTGGCTGGCTCGTGTATTAATTTAGCGCGCAAATATCGATCAACTCACGTACAAAAATGCCTCAACAACGCAAGCAAAATTCTATCCAAGTGCGTCGTCATAATGCCAGATGTTTGCGCGCAAAATGTTTTCTTGGATATTATTATGCGTAAAACACGTTAAAAATATTATTACGCGTAACAATATAATTCGTTGCGATATTATTTACACATATTGTTATGTGTTAAAGTATTAATATTTGCGCTTACAAACGCAAATGATGGCACATTTTACTTTTTTTAAGCGTGAGTGAGTTTCGTAACAGATATGTTATAAAGTAAAATAGAACGAATACCTGGAAGAAAAAATCAAAATTATTGACTATTCTGTTTCAACAATATAAACAGTTAAAACTGAAAAATGGAAAGAATTATGTAGTAGACATGGGCGTATACAAACTATAATCTTTTGAATGTATTTTATATTATGTATTCGCAAGTGTATTCTTTAGAACAATATTGCATCAAGATATATCATTGTAATAATTGAGTGCTGGTTCCTGTCTGGAAGAAATTTTTGAGCATTACTGTCGCGAAACAACTACCTTAAGAGGTGTTTTCCAGCAAGAGGCATTAGGGTCAATTCTGTATCTTACACCATAGTGAAAATGCTAAATAAGTGAATAGCTTTGTCCTTCTAACCGTCCACTTAGAAAGAGACAAAGCCGATCACTTTTAGCATTTTCACTATATTGTAAGGTACAGAATTGACCGGCAGAGTTAATTTTTCTCCTTCTAATATGGAATGGAAAAGATAGAAGGATAATTCTGGGGCTCAATCATAAATCTTTTTCTTTAGCGTAAACTCGTGAAAAGTGAAAAAATTTCATTGACGAGTTTAATATTTATCAATGAAATTTTAATAAATAAATAAAAAATTTAATAAAGAAAAATATTTACGATCGAGCCCCTGAACCAGAACAACCAGTTCAGCTATTAAGAACAGACCCTGGAGTGCTGCGGAAAACGTTCGATTATCGGGATTGGGCGAAGTCCGAGACCGCGTCGCCAATTGGCTGATTTAGTACAAAGATTTCCAATTAGCTGATCAAGTGGAAAAACTCCATGCAATGGACTTGTGAGCGCAGCCACATCCACTTGACACTCTGCTTATGTCTATTAAAACTGTTTCTTTTTTAAATACATTTATTACGTTTATAAGTACTTGTAAATAAGTAACTATCAGTTACACAAAAAATAATTAAAAATAATATTAATTGCTATATCTTGTCTTTGCAAAACATTCTAAAATGAAAAATATTAAGAACTGAGGCGCATAGAGTTAATTTTAATCTTAATTTTAGCTTAATTTACTTTTTACTCTAAACATTGTGGCCATAAAATTCGAACAGACTCGGGCGAGACATTCGAGTAGAAAATAATGGAATTGCAATTTATTTTATTTGCATAAATCTTACATAATATTATGGCTTCCTGCTTTCTTTAGTTTAACAATGATCTCGAATATCGATTTGATGAGCATGCAAGGCAAAAGAAATACATGTATTTTAATTCTGACTGTGAGATTAATGTAGTTGTAAAAAAATATTTAATAATTATATCCACATACCTAAAATTTCATGATGCCACAAAAGATAATTCAGCTAACAGAAGTAAAAAAAACCCAATAGCATTTCTTATGAGATAAGACATAAATTATCTTTGATGAATTAAACAAAAAATTGTTCAATGTCCAAGTGATATATGATATATGCTCGTAAATGAATTGCCAATGAATCTTCTGATGCTACAAGTGTTTTCATAGCGATGACCTTGCATAAAACACATCACATATGAAAACTTCACCCGAGCATAGGATATAAGCATATAACACAGTATATCACATTCCGTTAATAACTTTTCGATATCAAAATAGGATAAAATGGGACTGTTTTCTCTTGACTCTCTATCGAAGAAAAAGAATCGAAATGTTTAAGTCTCATCCTCGCATCTCAATTGCAACCATGACAATATACGTCGTGCATACACATATCTGTAATATCCATATTACTAGAAAATCTCATTTGCAACTGTACTTATTCTCCGCACCAGCAAACCTGACTGCTGCAACGTGGAAAGGATTTTATAATTGCTGCCCACGAGCGCTCGTGAACATTTAGTCGAAGTAAAATTGTTTTTGCCACTCGGTTAAAGTTCGAATAAATATCTACCTTGTATAAGTTAGATATTTATTCTATTTATTCATAATGCTCGTGAAACCTATCGTCATGACCCCAAGCCTTATTTCTTTCCCTCGGCGGCGTCGTTCTCAGCGAATTTGATTTTGCATTAATATTAGTTCCTTTCTTCGACTTATCGAACGCACCCGAGCCGCGTATAGCTCTTGGAACGCTAGAATTCCTGGAATAATTGCCATGCTCGGACACGTCGTTCTTCGCATCTTCTTTCACGATTCGTTGATTGTTATCAACCTCCCGTAATTGATTATCTGAAACGCCGAAAAGTCGCTCAATCATACGCGATGGCAGCGAAAGTATCATTCACACAGTGTCGTCACTTGACGTTTAACAAGCAAACGTTACCGTTTTCAGTCTTTGACGTTACGACCACCTTGATTTCCTCGTGGGTGAACGGATGCTCGAAAGAGAGAGACTTGATATTTGAGAAATAAAAATGTTTCACCCGCGTGTCCTTAATCTCGTAGTCGTTATTGGCTAACTCTATCACTAGCAATAATGCCGCATAGTTTTCAGGACTGTACAGGTTTTCCTTTACCACCAGTTGTCTGATTGTCATTATTAAGCTCTCTAATCCTCCTGGACACGCAGCGAAGAGATCTTTGCCAGACCTAAGAATCTAGAGACAAGATCTCCCGTTAGTCTAGTCACACTCTTAAGGCCTGTGTCCACGATGCCAGAGCTTGGTCCAAGTTCGAGTTCCGTAAAATGTGTAACCAAACTTTTTGGTGCTTTTACGGAATAGCCGCAAGTTGACTGGCCACACATTTCTCGAAACTAGAACTTGGACCAAGTTCTAGCATCGTGGACGCAGGCCTTTACGAATGAATATAATCTATCCTTGGTCTCTAACTTGCACAAAAATCTCACCTGTATCATAATGAAGTAAATATTATCCTTGGGATTGCTTTGCAACAGATCCTCCAGATATTGAATTAACGGCTCGGCCAATATCTTCAATCTGCTTCCATCGCTCAGTCTCATATGATAGTAAACCTCCGCATGAAGCAAGACTTTATTGGCGAACGTCTTTTTATCCTCTAGTTTACATCTGTCCTTGGCTGAAAGGACAACGTGGACATAGATGTAGAGAACCGGAAACTAAGCGAGCGCAGCACTGTTCAATACCCACACATATAATTGTCCTGCAGGAGACGTAAGAAGCGGCTGCGTATCGTGTTTTTATTATTATCTTCTAACAGCGCGATCTTGCTGTCGCTGAATACAATTGCTATCTTCGTGGTCAGCGAGTGGTGTATCGCGTGCTTCCACAGGGAGTCGCACACTTGCCTGAAAATTTCCATTGGAGGATGATAATCAAGAACGAAGCGCTCTGGGCGTCAATTCTGTATCTTGCCGTATTGCGAAAATGCCAAGAGTGAACGGCTTTGTCTTCTTTCCGAGGGGGAAACCGCTGAGGGCATTGCGGTGTACAGATTTGCGGCATTACTAGACATTTTTTTGGGTATTAGTTTGGGCCTTGCTGGGGTATCATAAAGATAAAATGAGATAATAAGATAAAGTAATGCCCACTGGGCATTGGTGTATAAGATTTTGGTCAGCGGTGGCCCCCTCGTCTCCTTCCAAGGAAACAGAGACAGTTAAGCCTTGTGTCCACGATCCAAGAACTGTGTCCAAATTCTAATACCGAGAAATGCGTAGCCAACCACCTTGCAGTTCTTATGGAATAGCTGCAGGTTGATTGGATGCACATTTCTCGAAACTAGAACTTGGGCCAAGTTCTTGGGTCGTGGACACAAGGCTTATAGAAAGAGACAAAGCTGCTCACTTTTAGCATCTTCACTGTAGTGTAACAGCGAATCTGATTGCTTGCACTAGTGCGCACCGAGTGCTCCAAAGGCTTGTTTATAGTCATTTCTTACACGCAACTTTATATTAAATACACATTGAAAGAGTATTAACCTGAAAAATGATCTGTGTGTATGCTATACGGATCATTTTACTGGCCAAGAAACATTTCAAGAGATATCGAAGACAATTTCTAAATGCAAGACTTGACCGTAAGACCCAGTCTACAATGAGTTGTTAGTCTTCAGTCAGAACCGTATGTCGATCCGTTTTCTTTCACCCGGAAAGAGACGGTTCCAACAACTTATTGTAGTCCAGGCCCAAGCAAGCTTCAGCGGGCACTCAGTGCGCCCTGGTGCAAGCAACTGAATTCGCTATTGGATGCAGAATCGACCCCTTGGACCGCCGAGGGGGGGGAGCTCGCAGTGTACCTCAGACTGTCCTCGTTGGCCGCGACCGCCAGCAGGTCCACGATCTCCTGGATCACCTGCGGCGGGACGGTATCGCGCTCGTCGGTGGAGACCAGTTTGTCCAGCACGTCCCGCAGGACCTTGCTGTTGCCGAACGTACCGCCCCCGCCCGGCCTACGTAGACCCTGATCCTTGTCCTGGCTGGCCCATCCGCGACCGCGGCCGAACGAAGTCATCGTCGGGCTCCCTCGACCCTCGGACCTGCTCGACACAATGAAAGCCGTACACGCCGACTACGTTTTTTCCCGCCGCGATCGGACAGCGAGATCGGTAGACTCGACATATTCGCTCAAGAAAAGTACAGACCCGTGGGTACTGGATACGATCCGACCACTCGACCACTTGCCAGTCTCGCCACCGTCCCTCAGGTCTGAAGTTGTTGACGCACGGCTACGACGCGAGAGACGCGGCGGGGTTGGAGGGGCGGGGAGACAAGTGTTCCTTATCGCTGCACGTTGTTATACTTTCTGCACCTGCAACGAGACAGGCGCGCGCGCGCGCGTGCGAGGGAGAACCGAGAGGGGTTGATAGGGCGGATGTGAACCTTCGAACCGCCCGTTTTCATCGGTGTGCGGATTGATACTTTTTCCTTTTTAGTAAATATAAAATTGAGATGAAATAAATTTTGAGATGAAAAATAAAAATTGACCCGCGTCGATGGCAATGGACGCGAGGTCGAACTTTTCGCGCGTCTCTCTCTCTCTCTCTTTCTCCGTCGAATCGTACACTCGCTTCGTTTCGAGTACAGGGGGTCAATTCTGTGCCTCGCAGCACAGTGAAAACGCTAAGGGTGAGCGGCTTTTTGTCTCTCTTTCAAGGGTACAGTTGGAAAGAGGCGAGGCCACTCACTCTCAGCACTCTCGCTGCAGCGTAAGGTACAGAATTGACCACCAGAACGCGTGGGGCTGCGCGACAGAGTGTAGGGAAGTGTAGACGGTGGACGCTCTCTCGCGGAGACCGCCGACACGCCGCCTGGCGTTCGCGAGACGCGTCAAAAGTTCAGCCGCCAGCGGGGGAGTCGCGTTTAAATTTCTCCGGGTTCCGGGTAGAGAGAGAGAAGCTTTACGGCGAGCGGTCACGCGAACTGGATCCCGTCGGCCCGATTCCCCCCGGTGGAGACGGTGGTGCGGCGGAAACCCGCGAGAAATCGAGCAGAAATTCGGTTTAACCTCCCCGCCCCCGAAAAGGACTGAAATTGCAGCGCGAGCGACGCGCACGGCCCGTGTCGAGAGCAGGCCGAGTCCGCCCGTTACGCCCCGCGGTCGCGCTCGCTCGAGCGTAATTCGCGTGCGGCGGACGCGGCGGAAAAGTCGGAACGAAACGGCGAATCTCGCCTCCTCGTCCCGCGTCCCGCCGACGGCCGGCCGGCCCTCGCCCTCTCGCTCCTTCCGTGTCGTCGCGGATCCGACGGTTGCGATAGGCGCCTGGGCCTAAATTCCGTACACGATTACCGACGACCATCGATACGTTAACGACGTTTGCGCAGCTTTTCTATCATGTAGAAAAAGCTGCGCAAACGTCGTTAACGTATCGATGGTCGTCGGTAATCGTGTACGGAATTTAGGCCCTGGCGGCAATAATTGCGCGTCGAGGAATTGGTCCGCGCGTAACCAGAGTGAGAGGGCGAGTCGCACGGTAGAAATCTGTTTCCGCGAGAGCGACAATTGATCATTGGGCGTCATTTTGTCTTTCGGGGATCACGCAGATTTAGTTCCGCGCGACCTTTCGCGGCCCAGGGCGCGGAGCAACAGGTCGAGAACGGGACAGCGGACGCGCCGCCGAGAAAGCTGTGCGATAGTTACGTAATTTCGTTTGTTGAGAATTACGATTGTTTGCACGAGGTTCGCCCGCGACGGGCTGAGACGAGGAGTCGATTCGGAATATAGTTTTCACCTCGAGAAAGCTGTAACAATTGTGTAATCTTATTTGTTAAAGGGTACAATTGATTATTTATAGCTCACAATGCTCGCCCGCGGAGTATCGGTTGAATAACTTGTCATAAATATTCGCGAGGAAGTTGTGGCGATTAAGAATCATACGATTTATCTTGTTTATTGACCCTCGCGGGTTACAAAAACGGACCTCCGCTCCGTTCGCAAATTTCAACCTTTTAGCACTTCAAACGCTCGCACAAAAGAGAATTATACTTCTCCACATTCATTCATAATTATATAGTTATATATATAACTTATTATAATTCATTCACAATTGTATAATTTACTAAGGATTGTAATTATAGCTTACACGATGTTTGCCTGCGACACCCTAGTAGCACAATGTATTGGCGCGACATTGGAAAATGATGTAAATCTAGCGCTCCCAATGTTGGTCCAATAATTGTAAG